ACAGTGCAGCAAATGAAAATCAAAAAGACGAGAAAACAAGCCAATTTTATTGAGGTAAATCAAATTTCAACTGTGTTATATTAGTGCTCACTTAGTTCTTTTCTCTGGAGTTCTGTAATAGCTGAATAAGACTCAAACAAACATGTTTGAACAAAGTGCATAAACTAAACAAACAAACGGTGGAGGTCGCCATAAATTAGTTATGCAGAAATCCAGTGTGCAATAATACTGCTGCAATAATCTAAAATTGCCAAATAAAGGCAACCAAAGGAAAGAAACATGACAGGAAGTTCAGTAACAATACATTTTCATTCAAGACATAGATGAGGCAAAGAAACCTATCTATAAAAGCAAAAAATGTTCAAAATTGCGCAGACATGCATCACTGCTTGAACCGCATGCATAAGCTTATGTTCAAATAAATTTTCATGCTAAAGCGAAAGCTTGATTTTTTACCGACGATTTTTGCAGTCATTTTATGGGCCATGGCCTTACCAATTGTTCTAGAAGTTGAATTCAACTTCAAAGTAATACTGCACATTACCATTTTTGCTTTTTAAAGTCCAGGAAGCTGCTTTAAATCTCCAATTTGTCATCAAAACTCACTTGAAAGCGCACCAATCGTCATGCTTTTGTGGCGGTTGAAGGAAAAATTCTTCACCAGAAAGGTTTTAGGACTCTGTACACCTTGATATTCCACTCTGAGGCCACTTAAACATTGATTTGAGTTTTTTCTTTCCATTTTAATTCCCAAAGAAGTAATTTCTCCGATTTAGGGATGTTAACAAGACCTTGGAAGTTTGTAGATTTGGCCCACAACGCGGCATGATTATCACTGTTTTTGTAACGCTATGATTGGCTGGTCGTTTAGGGTGTGTCTAGGGGCAGAACAGCTTAAACAACGGTACACATACAGGCGTTATTTTTTTTCGCGCTCTTCCCCTTGTGCATGACTTACGCTTTGCGCTCGCCTCGCTTTTGCCTCTGTTCACCTAAAATACGCAAAAAAAATTACGCCTATTCTGCAGGCTACCATAAAATGGCCTTAAACAGCAGATGGTCAAAACTGGGGGTGGGGACTCCTATATGAAGAGGTCGGGGATGCTCGTCATCTCAAGTACAAATCAAGGATTTCGGTCTTACTTAGGGTGGTGGCAACAAAATGTCACCATTTTTAGCCGTCAAAGTAACCTTTAGGGTGCACACGAAGAAATAATAATTAAAAGAAACCCTCTCCTTTAATTTATGTTTTTAGGCTTGATTTCCGCTGATGTCTCGAGTACGCGAGTTGGGTCTAAAAGTGCGCAAGGGATCCTTTCTTGAACAATCACCTTGACTACGTGATATGCTTCTGATTGAACCTATTCCGTTTTAAGTGGTATCTTTTAAGGGTCTAATAAAGCTCAATCAACTCCCATATTAGTCTCCTTTAGGAGTTAAATTCAAATTTTGCGACGAGCATCCCTGGCCTTTTCATATGGGAGTTCCCCCCCCAGGGTTTCAAATGTCTAACAGGAAGTGAAGGAGTGATGGAGTGAAATCACCTCACCACTACAACTTGGAAACAGGTCTAAAAGTGCCCAAGGGATCCTTTCTTGAACAGTGGCTAGTAATCGAACCAGAAGCTTATCACCTTGACTAGGTGATATGCTTCTGATTGAACCTATTCCATTTTAAGTGGTAGCTTTTAGGGGTCTAATGAAGCTCAATCAACTCCCATATTAGTCTCCTTTAGGAGTTAAATTCAAATTTTGTGACGAGCATCCCTGACCTTTTCATATGGGAGTTCCCCCCCAGGGTTTCAAATGTCTAACAGAAGTGCAGGAGTGATGCAGTGAAATCGCTTCACCACTACAAAAATAATATTTTCCCAGTTTAAAAATGAGCCAGTATCCATGGCAATTCTTTGTGCATACCAGGAATTTCTATTTTAAAAGCGCTGTCACGTTTATTTTTCATTTAGTTTTCTCTAGCGACCAATACAATGTGGTAATGCCATCTCAAAATTGCTTTTATTATACTGTACACATAATTTCTACAATCTTGGAAAAATTTGGTAAGATTAGTTTGATAGTCTCCATTTTTGTTTAGTTTTTAACTGGAAAAAAAATTCTGTGAAACCACACGCCAAACAAAAATGCTCAAAATTGATCAATTTTTGAGTATCCTATCCAAGAAAAACAAATCCTGTTTTCAAAAATAATACGACTTTTTTAATTTTCACAAACATGTTTCGACGGTACATCCGTCATCGTCAGTGTGACGGTTACGAAAGTTTACAGTGATTTAAAACGTGCCTGTTACAAATCATACGTTACATTGTGTTGGAAAACAATACGTTAGATAAATTTTGAAGTTAACGGAAATAAAAAGATGCGTGTGCGCATGCAGCTATAGGGAAAGCATCAAATTGATGTGTTTGACCTGTTGATTAAGGTCGGGCTTTTCCCACTTGATGTACATAGACTCCTTAAGCTTAACTTGGTACTTGGTAGGTGCAGAGTCTAAGATCTTGAAGCAGTCTAAGTTACAAGAGGTACGGCATGACTCTGAAGCCTGAAAATGCTTATAAAGGTGAGAAGATCTGTCCGATGACAAGTGCTCGTGCACGCGCATGGAGAAATGTTGGCTTGTTTCGCCAACGTAACAAGCATTACAGCTTGCACAAGAAAATTTGTACACGATGCGCATACGGAGCCTGTCAGGGAGAGGATCTTTCACGTTGAACATGTTCTTAATTTTAAAGGTAGAATAAACAAATTTGATGTCCATGGGTTTGCAGAATTGATTGATTAGCTTGCGCACCCTTTGTTGTGCAACACCCGAAAAATGCCCGATGTAGGGGATCTTGAAATAGTACTTGGGCAACTCCTGTTTCTAGACACCTATTGAAGGTTGTGTGTCATTCCCTACTACTGCTCTTGTGACATAACGGAGGAGTAGCACGTCTAGTACATGATCGGGATAGAGATTTTTACGCAAAATAGTAAACAAATTCTGAATATCATTGTGAAAACCCAACCACGTGTTGTTGATCTTAAAGGTCCTGTCAATTGGCATTTTAACCAACCCCATTTTGTAGCTAAGGGGTGTAAAGCTTAAAAAATTGGTAAGCAAGCCCGTGAAGGTCTTTTTGCAGTATACGGTGGTGACAGGGAATTGTGGGGATTTGTTGTTTAATAGCACATTAAGAAAAGGAAGAACCTGGTTACTCTCCCTCTCCATAGTGAAATGAATATTAGGATATTGATTGCTAATGAAATTAAAGAAAAGGTCAGCATCCCATTCCGAGTTGAAAAGGCAAAAAGTGTCATCCACATAACGACAGTAGAATAAACCCTGGGAATCCCTATACTGTTCCAACCAGATCTTCTTGTGGTGACCCATGAAAAGATTAGTTCCCCCCTAGCCCCCGTTCTTGCTAATCTTTTCATGGGTCAGGAGTTCCAATTTTAGGCTTGGTTAAATCTATATATTTGTTTCTGTATTAGAATGAGACCAGTATTCTCCAATATGGACCGAACAAGCTAGTTCAAAAAAGTATTTATTATAATGGCTCTTTTCAATCTGCGGATAAATTGCCGCATCTCTGCGATATATTCTCTGTTAACACGTGTACCAGAGTTAAACAATTTAAGAGAGCTGTTCAAAACTACTATACTTGCTTAGGACCCACCAGAAGTGATGGAGATGCCTGCCTCTTCCAATAACCCCCCACCCTTAAGTTGAGACCACTATCTCCATAACTACCATCCCTATCCTCAATCAAATGTACTATATCCCCACTTCTCCCTGTTACAACCTCATGGTATCTTCTATAGCTCCACCACCCCCTGTTACAAACTCATGGTATCTTCTATAGCCCCACCACCCCCTGTTACAAACTCATGGTATGTTCTATAGCCCCACCACCCCCTGTTACAAACTCATGGTATGTTCCATAGCCCCACCACCCCCTGTTACAAACTCATGGTATGTTCTATAGCCCCACCACCCCCTGGTATAAACTCATGGTATCTTCTATAGCCCCACCACCACCTGTTACAAACTCATGGTATGTTCTGTAGCCCCACCACCCCCTGTTACAAACTCATGGTATCTTCCATAATCCCACCACCCCCTGTTACAAACTCATGGTATGTTCTATAGCCTCACCAACCCCTGTAATAAACTCATGGTATCTTCTATAGCCCCA